GGACCTCTTCCAAGGTCACACTCATCTGTTCCAATGACCTTCACTTCAGAGCCTTTTGTAGCTCTCACAGCCACAAGGCCCCTCCCAAAACCTCTTTGTGGGATCTTAGTGTGGCTTGGTTCCACTGTCGTTAGCTGTGTGTACCTGGCCCTGTGGTGGTTTAACTTGGAAGCAGATGTCAGTCAGTGGATGGTGGCCTGCGACGTGGCCTCTCTTCAGAACCTCATGGGCCAAGTCCAGTTGTACTGTGTCAGTCTCTGGAGAAAAGGACCCAGGGATGTGTGTTTCTCACAAGCTTTGAGCTGACTGGACAGTTGGGGTAGGTCTGGGAAACGCTGCCGCGTGTGATTAATGTGAAGGGCATCCATGCAAGTCACTCGGCTGTGCCCACACAGTCCCTGGGCCCTCGGTGTGAGCTCTGCACAGTCACAGCGTTGGCATGGCGAGTCTCCACCCTGTGGGCTATAGCTGCTTCTCGGTCTCCTCCTTGGGAGCTCCCTGTAGAACGGCGGGGCGGCTGAACGATACCCACTGCCTGCTTGGGCAGAGTTTGGAGCGTAGGTAGAATTTGTTATTTTTATTAAAATGTAAGGAAAATGAATATCTAAACTAAATAAAACACACGACCCTTTAAAAGGAGCGTGTCTGAGCGGACCTGCAGTGTGAGCGACAATCCACCAGAGGGCTCTCAAGTCCCACATCCAACCTTCGCTGTCCCTAACACTGCGGGCACAGTTAATGGAATAAAACTCACTCTGTGCTCCGCAATGTGGCCAGGCCTAGGGAGTAAAGTGTGCTTCTAAAAATTGTCTTTTTCACCTGGTGTAGTAGCACATGCCTTTAATTACAGCACCCAGGAGGCAGAGATAGGCAAATCTCTGTGAGTCTGAAGTCACCTTGATATATACAGCAAGTTCCAGGCCAGCCAGGGTTTCGTAGTGAGGCTCTGACCTAAACAATGACAATAACAGCCACCTCCTTTGTTCAGTTCTGGCTGCTCACAGGAAATACTATGTCGGGAATGACATGTTCTCCATCCCCTTAACAACCGAAGGCCGCCCAGGAGAAAGGAGTCCGGTCATATTCCCAGCTCTTGCTCTATCCCTACTTGGAGCTGTAACTCAGATGTGCGGAGGCAGACTGAGAATTCGAGACTGGTTCACGTTGTAACTAAATGAATTATCCATAGTTTATATTTTTTCTTTGTCATTTGAATACAGGTGAGTGCTTAGATCCAGGGCTGGTCCTTGTGACCCAGGGCTCTGGAAACAGTGCAAAGATACGAGTGTTGGGCTGTAGGAGAATCGGTTCCCACCCTGACTTTGCAGTTATTTAGCTGTGTGATTCTTTATAGTGACCCTGTCATCCTGGGGTTTGATTTTGTTGCTTGTAGGATGATGGTCGTGCAGGGCTTAACTGTCACATGCAAGCTTTATATAGCACAAATGTAGCTTCTCAGACTCGCTTTTCCCACTCTCAGTTCTCATTGTTCCTAATAGTTCCTTTTCTAGACTCTCAGTCTCTTGACCTCCCTGGGTAAATGTTTTCTTATACCACATGACCCCAAGCAAAAGCTATGCACATGCCAGATGATCCTGTTGAGGTCCAGCTGTTCAATGACAGTCTTAAGGATCACGCAATGACACTCTCTGCAACCAAGGACATTCATTAAACGGAGTGCTCAAGGAGATATGGTTTGCATAACTTTGTAAAAAGTTGTGGAAAGGGGGCCAGTGAGCTGGCTCAGTGGGTGAAGGCACTTGCTGCCAAACCTGATGACCTGAGTTTGATACCCTGGCACTCATGTTGTGGAAGGAGAGAACTGACTCCTATAAGTTGTCCTCAGCCTCTATACATGTGCTGTATCTTGTAGGTGTGTGTGTGTGAGTGCACATATACTAGTAGATACAACGTAGTAATTTTTAGTGAATGGTTTAAAGAAAATCACACAGCAGAAAAATATGTTTAGTCTCGATTCACGTAAATTTGGTCACTAATTAAGCTATTATCTCTGTTTAGCATGGGCCAAGCATCCCAGCCCTTTGAGACTGTCTGTATTTTGATTCTGTCATCCGCAGGGGATGATAAAGCTGTGAAGTTGGGTTTGGCTGAGTGACCACTTGGTACTTATATTTATGTAGTTCTCTGAGACACATCTTCCATGCCTTTAAGGCAGTGGTTCTCACCCTTCCTAACGCTGCGACCCTTTAATACAGTTCCTCATGTTGTGGTGACCCTCTCCCCCAACCATAAAATTATTTTTGTTGCTACTTCATAAGTGTAATTTTGTTATTGCTATGAATCACAGTGTAAATACTGTGTTCTCCTTTGGTCTTTGGGATCAAGACCCACAGGTTGAGAACCACCTCTTTAAGGCGTCCAGTGTGACAGAATTATGCGTTCAACCTTCTCCCAGGTTGAAGTGCTTTTGCTAATCAATGCCTCATTTACACTCACTCATTTAGCTCTGGACCTACTCAGTTATACTTTGGAACTACCCCAACACCATCCCCGATAACTTCCTTTTTCCTTTTTGACAGTATCAGACTTCATAGTATAAGTGTAGAAGTTCAGTTGAAGAATATAAGCTAGCCAATCATTTGGTTGTGTGTGGACTTGTGTGTGCAAGCATGTTCATGGGCACCAGAGGGGAGGGGCCAGAACCTTGGTGGTGGTTGGATGAGGAAGGCTGATTACGAGAGTTCTTATCAGCTGATGGACGGCACTACTCTCACAGTGTAAAACCTCCTCAGCATGACCTACTTTCCTCATAGAAACTGTGCGTGTTTTTATCTCACTTCACTTTCCTTTCATCACTGCTTTTATGGAGGCAGTCCGGGAGAGTCCCCAGAGCCCTAGGAGAGTGACAAGAGCCTCTTCTACCACCAAACAACATTGGGTCAGTATTGATCCACAGAGTTCTGTCCCTCGATTGCCGCTTATTCTCCAATGATGATGGAGGACTCCTGGTTATTTCTGCTTGGTTGGGCACACAGAGCATTTCCCAGGCTGATGTGCATTGCTGCCACAGAGCAGCGAGAAGAACATGCATCCCTGGCTCAGAATACACTTTTTGAGAGATAAGCTGTGCTTTGTTGGCAGTCTGTGTTTTATTTATTTAGGAAGGGAGGCAGGCATTTGTGTTTGCAGAGACCCCAAGGCAGATGCTATTTACAGACTACTTATCTTCCAACATTGGATGCCTGATTCTCTTTAAAGCCCATGTATACTCTTTGGAAAGATTGTTGAGGTGTTATAGTGGATGGAGTAGAGAACCCCCCTCTGACACAGAAAGGAGAAGAGGGCTTCCTAAGACTTAAGAGCAGAGGCTGGCTGTTCTTCTAGCAACCTGGCCGACTTCTAGCATGCCTGGGTGGAGGGGTGTACTGCAGCCCTCAGTGAGGCAGGGGGCTTTATAGTCTTGATGGAGTCCTGTGCAGCAGACTGGGCACCAGGGGCTGCTGTTGCCAATCCTGAGGGACCATGTTGATAGCCACTGACCTATCCACTGGGGTCAAGACAGACTGAAGGCTACAGGAGTTTGAAAGCCTGCCAGACTCTTTGGCTGTCCTGGATTAAAAGATGGGAATCTTTTAATGCTGAGAATTTCCTGCCCCAGAATGGAATGACAAATATACATATATATGATTTCCCAGGAAGAAAAAGGATTCTTGCTGTACATCATGCGGAGTGATGGCCAAATTATTCCTGAGACAGCATAGCTTCTTCCCTCCCTGTCTTCCTTCAAGGACTAATCTTAAATATTAATGTGTGACAGGCCATGGAGACCCAGGAAGAAAGATCTCAGGCCTCCCCCAGGAGCTTGGGGTGCACATCACAGACAGGCAGGGTGGAATAGTGATGTGGGGCCAGAATACCAAAAGGGAGCCCTAGGAGGATAGATAGGAGACCAAGCTTGGGGCTTTTGGCTCCTATGTCAAGGCTCCTTTCATCTTGTGACATTTCACCCCAGGGCACCATCTGGGCATCTGAAAACTGATGATAGGACACCCTTTCCTGCATGTTCCTGCCTGTGCACGGCCTGGACACAAGCCTGAAGTGATGGGCCCATTGATCACAGGACTGAAATCTGTGTGAGCCCCAATCAACTCTTTGTTATTAATTCTTGATCTCAGGTATGTGTCATAGTGACCGGAAGCTGGCTAACACACACTAGTAGAAGACTAATGAGACATCCTTGCAGAATCCCAAAACTGCACAAAATCCACCTCTGTAAAGTCTAATTTATTTGGTGCTGAAATGTTGCCCCATAATCTGTCACATTTAGGTAACTTGTCTCTCTTTCTGGTCACCTTATCTATGTGGCTCCAACTTTACATTTGCTCATTTGATTAAATGTGTACCTGCTCGAACCCCCCTCCCCCAACCGTGTGTGCATGAGTGCAGAGGAAAAGTAAGCTGTTTGAGGAAGGTGGAACAGGAAGAGCAATGTTACAGATTCCCGAGAGAAGCAGAAAGATGACATGCCCACCAGCTCGTCTCCTGCAGCCCGGAGGAGGGGGACCAGCAGGTTCAAGGGAGCAAAGAGATGGTCTAACACCAGGATGCACAAGTCTCACTAGACGTGGAAGGTGGCTGGACATCATCATCACTTGTGAGCTCTTGGTCCAAACTGAAAAGCTACTAGTGGGCAGTGTTTCACTGACCTCCATGACGGAGACCATGAAATGCAGGTATCCTCATTACCCAGATTTATAATCACAAGAAAACACCACGGGAATGATTTAGACTTCTCTAGCCTCATCCTTCGCTCTCATCCCATTCTCTCTCTGTGAGAGAGTGAAATAATAAGTCAGGAGTTAGGACCCAGGGATGTTTCAGCCTCACAAGACCCGACAGCTCACTGGGCATCAGTGAAGTGCACTTTAAGAAACCCACACGGCAGGGAGATGACCTGTGACTATTTTCATCTCAGGCAGCTGGTCATGAGCCCCTTGGGTTGCATCTAGACTTTGAAACACTTGTATTTTGTTTTCCAGCCCTCCTCCTTTCCCGGGGCAATGCTGTGTGGTTGAAAGGAAGAAATCACCTCTCTAAAGCAGACATGATGCCAGGCTTTTTCCTGGTCCTTCTGGTTCTCAGTGTCACTCTCTCAGGTAAGAGCACCTTAAACTAAGTGCAAACTGCAGGTGTCAGATTATTCAAAGGAGGGCAAACATCAGTGTGGGTCATGTTGTTCCTGGAAAAGCAGGCACCGATCCCTTCAGGATAACCTTTAAAATGTGGCTCAGATGGCTAACTCCACGAGAGCTCTATAAACAGATTGCTAAAGATGCCAGAACTTCAAGTATGGTTTAAGGCTTACTCCTTTATTGCATGTTGCTCTTTGGGATCGCTGTGTGTTACGAACCTGATAGACGTAAAAGAGGGAAATGTTACCGAGGACATTGATTGTTGTTCCCAGGATTGTTAAAATGCTCAGTGGAAATTTACTAGGTGGACATTTTTCTATCATGTCTATTAACAATTGCCAGGTCTCTGTGTAGATCTTTAATTTTGTATAATATATCCCATAGACTTGTTAATAATTTAACAAAGTTTTGTAAACTAGGAGGTTTCGTATGTTTCAATACTATAATTAAAAATGTCTGTGAATATCTGTGTGCTGTACGACCTGATGGAGAGAGGGATTGTTGATAAAGAAAGAGAATTATTAAGAGGTGAGAATGAAAGCAGAAAGGGAGGGGGAGGCAGTGAGGAAGGCACTCCTCAAAGTTTAGGGGATAGTGGTTGTCTACATGCCAGTTTTCTGGGACTTGAAATCATTTAATTGTTACAAAACACAGGCAAAACAGAAAAGTTTCATCGTGAAACTAAGGGCAAGATTTTGAGCAGTGGAGTTCCATTAGTCATCTGTCTTCATTTCTCAGTGGTATTTTTGCCACATTGGATTATTACAGCTTTCAGATTGAGAACTGAACATCTAGAACTAAATCCTAGACTTCAAAGTCAGAGGCTGAGAGGTTCACATGAACACTATCGTATTCACTTTCAGAAGTCGCCTTCCACCATGCCTGCACCCAAAAGCAAGCAGGGTAACTTCTAAGTGCAGAGAAATACCAAGCCGACTTCCAAATAGCACCAGATCTGTTCTCTGAAAAGTCTTAACTATAGCCTTCCAATAATAAAAACGATAATCAACTTTTGGGTATTTAGCATACAGTTAATGTTCATACATCTGTTTTTTGGCTTTAATTTATTAGGATATTCCTTTTACTATGAAAGAATTGGTCCTTACAATGCACATTCCAAGAGTGCCACCTCAGTGGTTAGCAGGGATAATTAACATAAACTCTCTAGGCTCAACTGTGCTTCATCCTCTGTGTACAGTAAATGTTGCATTAGAAAATTGGAATTGGAAGAGAACCTGGTGCTTTTTCTCCACTGTGGAGGCTTCAAGAGTGTGGGCATGTATTCTGTGAGTATATGTTTCTTGTAGATCAAAATAATAATCATCAATCTAATGACCTGCAATCAATCTCACTCTGAAATCTCGGGAGCCAGTGGGATCTACTTAGATTTTTGGACGGAACCCCCCTCCCCCTGTCCTTCAGTTCTTTAACCTTACTACTCATTGTAAAATATTTAATTACACAAATTTATTTTTCATATGACACTGGGTACCCTTTCATTTTTATATTTCTGAATTTGGTAAATAGTAACAGTTGCATAATACTGTGTGACATCTCTCACGTTGACTTTTCACATTTGAGTGCTTGTGTGTATTCCCAAAGAGAAGGAAGTCTGGCTTATTTGCCTTCCCAGCCTTCTTCTTACTACAGGATAATGTCTGTTTGCTCATTCAATGAATATTTATTAAGCATCTACTGTACCCTGGGAATACTTCCAGGATGTGTGGATACATGAAAGAATAGAGCAAAGTCATTCTAATAAGCCCTCATGCTTGGAAGAATCCATTAAATATTTACTGTTGGGTTTCACGCCGAGTACCAGATCCACATGTCAGCAGAAGCAGCTACCAATCCTGCGGCGTAATAATGGGAAGAAAAACCAAACTGAAACACAACAAAACATGTAAAAAACACGCTACATATCTCAATCATAATTGTTGAAATTATTCACTGACTTAAAAATTTTCAATAATTTCTTTGCTCTCATAGTTGAAGATCAACAAAGATGCTACCTTTAGCGAAATCATAAAGAACTGAGGGAAGTTTCATATGTTTTCTTGCCAGTTATTTATTCCTTGGAATGAGTGAGTTTGTCAAAGCCTTCTAAAAAGAAAATTTAGTATGGGGATGGGAAGAGAGCAGGGACCCTGGAAGTCTGAGGCCAAGAAAATTGGTCAGGAGGAAAGAGCCCAGAAGATAAAGTCTTACTCTGAAGCTGGCATTGGATATCTGTTGGGGGCTGTGCCCAAGGAATGGCACACTAACTTTCTCTTTTATATTTCCTAAACAAAACCAAAAAGACCTCAATTAGTGGGTCATACTTCTTTGGGGCTGCCGCATGGATGCCAAGATTCTGTAGGCACAGGAGGAGCCACAGTAGTTGCCCATCCCATGCTGATCCTTCACATGCTTTGCCTAAGATGAAGATTGAATCCGGACCAGATAGCACACCTCTAACTCTGAGTCTGGTACCCACTGATGTTCAGTATAGGTCTGCTGGGTTCTTATTTTAATGATGGGGGAACTTGGCAAGGGTCTTGGCATTCTGAGTCAAAAGGAGCACCACTCTTGGAATGCATTTCCAGCTCCAAGTTCCCTGTGCAGAAACAAGCAGCAGCAGGCATAGAATCCCACATCTCTGCCTCTCGACTTGTGTACTCTGGCTCTGTTTGGTCCTTCCTCTTCTGGTCCTCTGCCTGAGAATTTATGTGTCTGGTTGCAAAGAAAATATTTTGCCAAGAAAAACCAGAGAGTTTAAGCAGACAGATGGGGAACGGGAGAAGATGTGGGAGACTAGGGATTGAGAAAGCCCTGTCAGGTGGCAGATATTTACACCTGTTGCATGGTACTCAGTATGTCATGGGATGGTTTCAAAGCAAGTGGATACAGGTTTCATTTGAAGCAGGGATACTCCTTTCCCGTAAAATCTTCTATGTCTACCTTCAAGGAGAATAACTGAAGAGTGATACCCCCACTAAAGAAGCCCTGGGCAAAGTGATGAGGCCCAAAGGCAGGCGTCAGCTACAGAAGGGGACTGTTGAGCCATTTATGAGACACCAGCATGGAATGTCCTCCTGGGATCAAACAAACGTTATCTGTGCCTTAGTGTTAGAATCTCACACTCTTCCAAGTGCTAGGCTGCATCAGACATCAGGATGATGTTTAGCTTTCTGTACCTGTAGAAAAATACACATAGTAGGATAAATATACGTGAAGATAAATAATTTATTTTATCTTGTAGTTAGATTTTCTAGTCTGATCTTCTTTAGGGATTATGGCGAGGCAGCAGATTGTAGCAGGAGGGTAGAGTTGGGGAAAAAACTTCTTACATCATGAGCCAGAGTGCAAAAAGGAAGAGGATTCCACAATCCCATAATCCCCTCAATGTGCCCTTCAATATCATAAAGATCTCCCCCACTTTCTACTTCTTAAAGGTTCCAGTACATCTCAATAGCCACCACCCAACACATGGGCCTTGGAGCCACTGAACTTCTAGACCACAGCAAACAGTAAATCACACAGGGCACTGCAAGGCGTCACTAAACAATATCAAAAACATCGATGTTGTTTTTGTGTAGAAATAAGGAGATTTTGGTGGAGATAAGTCACATTCCCTCCGATGCAACCCTCAGATAATCACAAGCAGGTGGAATCATCTGGCTCATCAGTCTGAAGATCACAAGCTGCTATTCACTTTCAGCTTACTAACCATGTCACTCCCTGGAATCTTGATTACATGTAATTTTGTGTGTCCTGGAGCAGTGAGCGAGGGCCACTGCTTTGTCTGCCATAGAATGTGACCATTTGCTAATTCATTCATCTGTTCATTCATCACACATCATCAAATATTTAACAAGGCTACAGTTTCAAAGAATCAAACATGCTCATCGTCATTAATATTTTACGTTAAAAGGACAAATCATTAACCTGTCTGGGCTCCTCTGCTGCTCCTGCTATAGTGACTGAGGCATATGTGTTTTATTTTTTCATTCGGTGAATTTTGCTTTGGTCAAAACAGGCTTGCACCAGTCAGCTGCAGCTGCCGTAATACAACACATACTTCCAGTTGGTGATTTAAGCAGCAGGCATTCATTTCTCCCAGTCTTGAGGCTGAAGTACATGCTCAACAGGGTTGAGAGTTCCTGGTGAGAGCTCCCTTCTTGGATGGCAGATCATTTCTTCTGGCTCCTCACATAGCCCCTTCCTCTGTTTCTCCTCTTTAGAAGCTGTATCTTCAAACATACTCACCTTGGGACTGGACCTTTCACGCATGATATTTTAGTGGCACAAATATTTAGTCCATTTTACCAACCAGTACAAGTGTATATGCTATGGGAGCTCTATCTTTTAAGATTGGTAATACAACGTGAAATGTGTTCCCCTCCTTGGGAAAGCAGAGTCATGCATTTCCCTTGGAACCAGGTGAAAAACAAGATCCAGATGTTACTATTTTAGATTTTATGGCACAACATGCAGCTTTATCTCCCTTCAAAAGAACTGTACAATTGTTTGTACAGTTTTCTGGATGGGACTGAAAATTTAAAGGTAAGGGTCTGGTTTGTCCTCAGGAAGACCTCGTTCACATAAAAATTCTCAGAGCACAGGGTTATGTGATCTAAGAAACCTGTGGTGTGTGTGTGTGTGTGTGTGTGTGTGTGTGTGTGTGTGTGTGTGTGTGTGGTATCTCTGTGTGTGTGTACATGCATATGCACAGGCACATACAAAACATTATTCTGTAGTTTTTAGCATTCCTGGAGTGCCTCGATCTACCACTTGAGGCAACATCATAAATGATTTGTGCTAATTGGGCTAAACTATAATAGAAGGACTTCCCAGAAGTCCAGCCTGTGGTCCAGCAGCTTAGTCAGTGATGCCAGTGAGACAGATGAGGGAGTCCAGCCTCTCTGCCTCTCCTTGGAGCACTGGGCAGGTGTTCTTTAAGGTGTTCTTAAAGGACTGTTTAA